CCATTCAACCTAACATACTGACATCTATCTTTGAGGTAGCTTGCAAAAAAATGCAGTAGTGAGGGAGTAAAACCTATTTCCGAAAGCTTTATTAATAATTTATCATTATCTACAAGGTCAAAAGCTTTTTTGTAGTCAAAATAGGCCGCATCAACTTGCCGCCCAGCGTCCATTTCCGCAGAGACGTAATCTACCAGGGGTATCAAATTAGTGGTAGTCGATCGCCCTTTTCGAAAGCCGTGCTGACACTCGTGTAATTGATCACCTATCTGCCGACTTATATGATGATTAATTATTGCCTCGAATAGTTTGGCAAAAACGGATAGTACGGCTATTGGTCTATAGGCTGCAATATTAGAACCGGGTTCCCCTTTTGGAATTGGTGTCACCCTAGACAGCTTCCATAAATCTGGATATTTAGCCTGACTTAGTGAGAGATTGTACATATACAACAACGGGATTCTGAAGATTGAAATGCAATCTTTGACCAGGAATATCGGGATACCATCAGGTCCACCTGATGATCGAGACTTAAGGCGCTTTACGGCTTTATCTAGGTCTTCTTTATCTATGGTCGAGATAGATATTAACTTCGCACCGGCTATTGGTCGAGCTTTTCGTGCAGCTTCGTCTGTATCTAAACGTGGCATTTCATCCAAAAACACTGTACCAAAATACCGAGCAAACGCTTCAACAGCCTCTTGACCAGAAAATACTTCCCCATTATGTGTAAATGAGTCTATAAATCGTCTGTCTTTTTTCTTATCTTTAACATATTCCCAAAACTTTAATGGTTCGTCAATTATATTTTTTTGTATAGTCTGCACGTGTTGTTGATAAGCGTAGTCAATAAGCCTTTTTGTATGCCACCTATAGTACTTATACAATTCTCTATTAAACTCCTTGCCTTCTAATTTGTACCTTTTCAAATGAAAATATTTTGATTTTAAGTTATATATGATTTCCGTCGTGTACCATTTAGGGTATTTGTATTGACTGATATTATTATTATGCGATGACCTATTCCTAAGTGGAACATATAAATTTACGCAATCATATAGTTTTTCATAAAAAAAGTTCACGCTTAAATCAACATCGCTAACCTCTAATAAATCTGACCAATCGATAGTAGCTAGAGCACTGTACAATGCTGAAAAGTCTGTTTTGCGCCAGTTCCAGTCAGGACACGTGTCCGAATGAGAAACTGGCGGTCGCGGAACCTGTTGCAAAGGGCCTGTCCCTATCTTTAGTTTAATAAAGGGCGTAATGGGTATTTATAGCTATATTAGCAGTTATAGTTTCGGCCTATTGTGAATCGTCTATCAGAAAACGGGAGTGTGAAAAGTATTTTTTTTTGTGGTAGCCAAAGCGTACAAAAGTATATACATATTAATGTATCGTTTGAATTGTTCGATAAGCTACTCTCTTATCTCTTCATCTAAAATGATCGCAATAAATCTGTCAAATATTATATACTTGATATGACAGATGCGATATCTCCATTAAGTCTTACATCGTCGTCACGGCGCATACGAACTCCAAATAAAAAGTTGTAATAAAAGCTGCGTCACGAATTTGAACGTTGTTTCATACTGTACCAAACCGGGGGATGGAGCAATCATAAATTAAAAGCCATCATATTTGTTTTTCGAACGAACAAGTAAATAAAAATTCTGATCGACGGAGCGTAACTCTGCGCGGAGCGTAATCAACAGTTTTATTCGGCTATTCCCCAGCCTTGATTTCGGGTTTCATCCTTGCCAGTGATCGGGCGTATTTCTTTTTGAATATCTTTTCGTCTCGCCATCTTTGCTGTTGTTGATTAAATACAACATGCTCAATATTTTATTAATCATATTTGATCTTAATTATTTTTGCTTAAACGCTGATTGCTTTATTATTAATGATTGTCTAGTACGTTACGTTTCTAAATTGTCAAGTCGACAAGCAGCTAGTTATAGTGAAGGTCAGTAATTAACAAGCGAGATCAACAAGCCGCTCGATGCTAATGGGGTCTTTCCACGTCAAAGGGCTAAAAGGCGTCGGAGCGCGTCTGTCCGAATAATGGGCCAAGTTGTAGTGCCCTTCCCATTGCCTCACTACCGCTACACGCGACCTCATCCGACCCTCGTCAAATGCTCGATTAGCTTAACGTGTACACACTAATTATTTTTTTACGATTTACCCATCACGACTCCTAATTTAGAGTTCTTCAAATTACCGTCGTTTATATCTTTGGCATGTCGCCCACGCGATACAATACACCGAAAGTAAACTTCCATACGTGGCGTGTCGATTGATTGCAGTCTAAAATCAAATTCTTGTGATATTTTTTCTTCTCTTTCCATATGATATAGTTCGGATTATCTATCCTCTCTTACGCTTATAGCGGATGGCACGAGCCCATTTCAAATTTTATGTGACATCGGGACACGACATTTGGGTCTGTGAGTGTTATAGGATTATAATTAATGCATCATGAATGATATGGGGCCGCTGCCGAACCCGGTCCCGCAGTGGAAATGAAACACATTAAGATTAAAACTGACAGATCAATTATTGGTAGTCATTGCCATTAATAATTACCTAACATGTATTAGACAAATATTAATGACTTATTTCCATACGAGCTCAATAATTCTCAAAATTCGAATGTACTACCTACTTACATGTACATATTTTGAGAAATAATAAAATGGAAATAAGAAATTATGACACCATAAATATATAAAAGTGCTATACAGAAAACTATTAAAACTTAAACATTGTACAATGTAGGCAGTTTACGATGTTGCTCGTTTGGTTTTCGCTGTAATTTCGTTTGATAAATTTGTCAATAAAGTCGGACAATAAAATTTTAGACCTAATCTTTTTGTGAAAAAAGGAATTTGTTACGGTGCCCAAGTGGCTCGTAAAACAGAACGTCTAGTTATTGAGTGACAAATCGCCGGTTTAAGAAGCAGAAACACTCATAAATTCACAATAATGGACAAATTATACAATGCAAGATATATCTTTTATGCCTCGTGGGTAAGAATTCAGCTTAATTGTATTTTGATAGCAGGTCATTTTGTTTGAACTTTAAAATTGATACATGAATAATTCAGTGTTTCAATATAGTTCCGATGCGACTGAAATAAAAATCTGACGTTCTACAAATGAATGATTAATATTTCGATGTTGAAATAGTAAATCACTGACTGTTTGAATAATTAGCAATCGAATGGAAACGTTGGAATTCAATAGCTTTGTTTGTCAATTTAATTGTTAATTTATCAGTCGGAAGTCGTGTCGTCACTTGTTTTATCAATCCGTTTTTAACTCATTGAAGCTGTATCGTGTTATTTCAAATAACATCAAAGTTTATTTAAATGTCACTAAGTCTTTGTTATTTATACCAGTGAATGTATTAATTGCCTTAACTTTATGAAGCACTTTTCATGGAAAGAACAATTGTTAAATATTAATTGTTTCAATTAAACGTTTTCTTCCTTTAGTAATCATAAATTCTTAAGTGCTAGGTAGATCATTTTTAATTTCGACCCTTTGTACTCGCCGCTATATAAAATTATTCAAATGACTTTTGATTCAGAGTTATTTGAAAAATAAATTGCCGCCTAAATTTTTTAGCATCGGCTAAGTTTTCGATTGTATTAATGTGACGATTAGTTTATTGTTCTATGCAATTTTAAATCAGTTCATCCCAATTATATGCAGCATTTTTGTCTATTGAAACTTAACTGAACTTGAAAAAGTCAAGGAGAGAGGCTTATTTTTCACTTGCTAGTTCTTATTAAATGTTACGACTAAATCCACGAGGGGAAAAAAATATGATTCATCGTTCGTAACAAAACATAACGTTCGTAACAAAACATAAATGAATAATAAATTGAAATACTCACATAATTTGGAAACCGCAATAGCGGTGTGGCACTAAGCAAAAATTTCACGCAAAGCCACAAAGCCGAATTGTTGAGGCGTTTTAGACTGTCGGCAGTTAGAACTTGCGGGAGGAACAAGTGGCCACGAAAGTTACTTGCATGCGGCCTGGCTGCATTGCATATACAGATAAACAAAATTTACATTCCTATAGTACAGGAATGTAAACGTATCTATGTAAAAGCTATTTTCAGTGTAAATTTGTTACCACACAGTACCGACTAATCCACTCTAGAGCCACAAAGCAAAAATGTTGAGGGATTTCAGAGTGACGGAAATCTGAACTTGTGGGTTGAACAGACGAACAGTAATGTTACATGTATTTTTATAGTCTCCGCAGTAAAAGCGGTCTGCGACTGCGACCCGAAGCGCGTTAATTGTTATGCTTTTGAAAACGGAACTTCTAAGGCCTGATTTTTCAGTCCGTAACTAAAACTTATATACACAATATTATTTTTATGACATAATATTTTACATGCACAATTGGGAGTTGTGGTTATTGGTCGGGTCAAGTTATTTTTATGTTGCGGATAACATTTATTTTTGATTGCGTAATAATTTTTTTGGTGATTTAGGGATTAACTTTAATTATTATTATACGGGATTTTAAAAATCAGCAATTTTTTCAAACTCACACACTAATTAGCCTAGCTCCAAAGTAAGCACTGTGAGCTTGTGTTATGGGATACTAGGGTAACAGATAGAATACATATATAAGTATATTTATGTAAAAATACATATTTAACATCCATGACTGGGGTACAAATGCTCGTATTCATCACACAACCATCTGCCCCCACTGGGATTCGAACCTGGGACCTCTCGAGCTGGCGACACCTTAAAACCCGTCGTACATACCACTCGGCCACGGAGGACGTCAATTATTGCAATAACGAATTTTGCTTATAGTGTAATAAGAGTTTTAAAAAAAATCCGGATTTTTGGTTTCATTGATATTGTGTTAAGTTTTGGTAAACAATTGTTAGGATTTTTATGTTTTACATGATTTTTTTATGTATATTGGACTCTTGAACATTTCTGTTCGACATTACATCTTGATTATGGGTATCTCCTCAGTAAGAGGTCGAGCTGTAACTATGGCGACTATAATTGAGATCCCGGGGATGGAAAAAGATAAGAAAGCAGACGCTATGGCTTCTAGGTTGAAGAAGGTCTTGGATTCAGAACCCGTACGAATATCTACTAGACCCGTGCAAGGAGATTTTGGTGTCAAGTTTGGATGAATCAATTACGGCAGAGGAGGTGATTGACGCTATCGCCAGGTTAGGTAAATATCCGATGGACCAAGTTAAGGTCAGGATTTAGTAAAGTTCACTTTACAGAATAGCAAAATAAATTAGCACTATATTTTGGTTTTTCTTTTTTTCTTTAATTTATTAAGATAAACAAACAATGACACAATACATTTTAAATACTGTAAATAATACATTATATGTATAATTATGATATTGTGTTTCTGTTGTTAAGAGAAGGCGAGGACAGCTGGAGTGGCAAACTTTTCTACCGAATCAGCAATCTTTGTGACTGGACGAACACCACTTACATTTATTATAAAATTGGCTCGGATTATTAGGATAGAACTCACGGCACGATTTCCTCTGCGCCTGCCGCGGCTGCGGGACCGCAATTCGCGTAGAATGTGAAATTGAAGGTAAAACGGGATCGCAGACAACTGCGGACTCGTGAGTTTTGAAATAAAACAACTCTCCGGGAGTTCTTAGCCTTAGCTGTGCCTTATACTAAACAAAACTGACTTGAATTTGTACGTAAGTGCTTAAGAGCGTGCGCACCGTTAAGCGGAGCACGGAGCTCCGTGCTTCGTCGCGGGACTCATTTAACCCGTCGCGGGACCCATGAGAGACCGGTGCCTGTCGCAGCGCCGCCAGTACAATTTCAATTGCATGGGTGAACAACCAATAATGGGTTATTGATGTGTAACATCTTTCCTCTCGCTTTCCTGCAATTTGTGGGAGTGATTTCGTGAAATGGGACGGAAGTGTGTAACAGGAAGTCGCGAAAACGCGCGCTATTTGATTTGATCTAAGAACATAATGTTCAAGTGGCTTATTCCTTTTGTAGTAGGTTTTATTTCTTTTTTTACTAATATAAGGTGAGGTTTCAAATGTTACACATCATACGCGACTACTGAAAGGTTCGCTCGTCTTTTTTTGTTGATAATACTACCTACCTAGTTAAAAGAGAACGCAGACGAGAGCCCAGAAGACAGTCAATAGAGCGTGCGCCGTCGCCCGCGCCGCGTGTGGCGGTTCTATGAAACAAACACGCCGAGCGGACGCCCGCTCGGTGCCCCGCTTAACGGTGCGCACGCTATAAAAGATTGAGTCATTACTAATGACTCATTACCTGTTATTATCTCTCTTTTTTCACGTGCCAAATCCGCACAACTATGAAATTATGGAGTTACTCTAATTGTCGATTGTTAAAAGTTTTCTGTAATTATAGGAGCGGTGGTTAACGAGATCGTTATTATTGTCGTCCCTCTTGAATAGGAAGATGGTTGTAAATGTCACGACGCGGCACTGCCACTCTTTCTAGGCACAAGTGCTTCAATGATTTACTACCGTTGTAAATGCTATTGTAATACCAATCCGTCACTTACTCGTGGTACTTACTTATGTTATTGACATGTGTATCATTTTGACAAGGCTGTAAAACTTGTGCGAGTTAACATACAATTTTTATGTGCAGTAAATTTTATATTTTAACGTCAGTTTTCGGATGATTTTTTAATAATAAGTATTTATTATTAAAAAATCGACGTTTCACCTTTGATTTGAAACATCTATTGCGGTGAGTGTGAAATCGGCGTTTTACTTACGACGCGAAATTGCAATTGAGCAGTGTACTTAATATATGCACCGTAGTGAGGCCAGAATTTATAAGAGTTCCGTTGGTAAGATAATTAAAGATTTCAGATTGACCCCAAGGCTTCAACACATTTTTAGTTTTAAGTTCTATTTAATATACATTTATTTTTTTATCTTCTCTTTGCAGTTTCGTTCCGTTTCATTTCATCATACTTCTTCTTCTCATTTGTTACGAATAAAACTGTTGTTTTGTTACATCTGCATGGCCTCACGACGATTCGCTCTTTTGATGTTTTTACTTCGGAACAGTAATATTGATGAATTTAAATATTAAAAGAATACTATTTCCAAGTTCAGACATAATTCAATCCTGCGACAAGTCTGTTACTTTTAGGCCTGTGGATATTGTGCCAAATACTTCGCGTTAAAGCGTCAGGCCGCTTTATAATCACCAATTTTAATTCCCAACTCGACCATAGTAAGCAAGACTGAATCGTAAAATTTTATACACAAGCTATATAACTGCCAACTTTAGCCATTTCGCTCTTCCGTTAACGCACTGTTTGATATTTTGGCGTGATTTTGAAAATCAGTAATGAAATACAAGCTTTTATCATGGAACATTAAGTGCACCTAATAACATAAACATTTTACGTTAGAAGGCGACAGTAAAATTTTAAGACCAAATATGTGTTCACTCCAACACAGTTTACGCGCCTTGCAACCTGTTTAAAAACATTTTATTTAGTAATAGTATCATCAGAAGTATTATTTATTTTTTCACACCAGTGATTACGTGGCTATACCTGTCTTTCACAAGAAGAAAGGTTTAAGAGAGGTAGGACATTGCTGATTCGCTGCTCGATATGAAGGGGATTCCCCGTCTGGGGAAGTTACCTCTACCTCAGTTGTGTTTCTGTTGGTGAGTGGAGTGAGTGAGAGGATCTAGGGATCCAGGGCTCTACGAGGTAGAGTATGGGGTGAGGATAGGCAAGGGTGCATGTGATATTATTGTTATTGATTACCATTTGTGGTCAATATGCTTGTTTTAGTTGGACACCTTTTAACATAAAAAGTGGCAATTAGAGATAAAATGGCGGCTGAATTTAGTTATTTTTATTGCGACTTATGTGGGCAAGCGACTACTTGGCGACGGACGTCATCATCCTCGAGGTTCGGAGTTTGATTCCGGTGTGACTCCATGTCGATTCCCACCTATAGAAAACTATTTTTTTCTACTGTCTTGAACTATTATCTATTTTCTTAGTTGTTGTAGGAGGTACCATAGTTTCTCCTACAACAGTGAATCTAACGCCAGCATAGAGCTCCGCCATAATAATGAGTTGAAAATGCAATCATCATTATTACATCAATACGGGAAGCTTTCGTCACAGAAACTATTGAAAATGAACAAGGAAAACTATATTTCAGACACGATAAATGTTAACAATGTGCATGTGGCGGTGACTCACAACTGAGGTGGAAAATCACGTCGCTGTATACGAAACGTAATCTGGATTTGGAGTTGATATCAAACTCCATAGAAGTGACCAATATAACTTATAGGTGAATAAAACAACTTTCAATGGGTTAGATGCTCTGATTTTATTTATTTATTGACGTTTCGCACCCTTTGCAGGAATGCGTCATCAGAATCGTATATAAATGATGTAATAAAATCAGTGCATCTAACCCGTTGAAACTTGTTTTATTTAATTAGTGATGTGTATGAAAATATAAGAAACAAATATATCATATTTGTATATATATTAGGTGAATATTTTAATAGTTCAGTTTTAATAAAAAAATACAAATCTCTTTAATTATGATGGACAAGTTAATTGCATTGCAGTAAATAGAATATTAACTCAGGGATGATTCAATATCCAAACTTATAGTATCAGCACAAAGTACACAACCGCCGCCCAAGGTCAAGGTCTCAAGTTTAATTTTGAGGTAAAATATAAAATTTAATAGCTTGCGTCAAACTTATATTATACTCATGCGTTCATATCATGAACTGTAGAGTAGGTATGCTATGCTACTAGGAGTCACAAAAGTGCCTTGCAGCCTAAGAAATACGAAAATAAATTGAACACGATCATAACGTTAGTACATCCGTCCGTCAGCGGGAGATGCTAGTTCGAATTCTGCTCGTAACTTTGACTGAATTTAATTTCTAGTAAAAAATTTCTTCCCAAACCTATTTTTCCTAATGATTTAATTTTAAAAAATATCTCAAAATCATCTCAACTCTCATATTCTTATCTACTTTATATTTGCCACATCTAGTGTTGATCCCCTATTTCGATGTAACTCACGGAACTCAATAGTGTCGCCGACTTCACACAAAGCCACAACCAAGGCAATGGCATCAACGGTAAGTGCCACACTGTTGTAAGCTCCGTTGGGCACTAAAATGTCAGCTCTTTCCTTGACATAAATCAGTAATCTATTAATTAAATCTTAGTTACCTGTAACGTGTCAGATTAGCACTGGTAAGCAAAATGTATGTTCGATATGTCACAATGATAAATTTTATATATTGCTTTGTATAATAGTAAAAAGCTCAAACAATTTATGATATGAATTACAAAAAAGCGATACTATATTTTATGAACTGATGGCTAATCAGGAATTGATATTTATGGCAGCCTCCTTGTAACTTTTCGGAAATAACATTCACTCCTTGTGGATGCGACACTTTTTGACTTTATTTTGAAGATGAAACTTGAGCTTTCATTGTAATGTTAATTGGAAAAATGTTCGTAACTATTGTGTCAAATTTTAGTGAAGAAAAGACAATACTTACCTTTAGAAGAGCATTTGTTAACAAATGTTATTTCTGTATTGTTACCGGGTTGGTTGGTGCTTACATAACTCGGTGAAAATATTCGTGGTTCGCTTTTACAGTGTAGCCGCAATACCATACGACATAGTGTAGACAAAGGAGTATTAATTTTATTAGTGTTACGTAAACAACAGCACCTTCATATACATATGTTTTCTAATTCCTGTGTATCCCTGTAATAAACGAGAAAGGAGAACAACCATTTTGTATGGGGGGTTGGTACAGATTCCAAGTTCCGGTACAGGTACAGGAGCAAAATATATACCATTGTCAAGCTTATTTTTAATGTATACTGCCAGTCTTTAGTTGAATTTAATAGCTAGTTGGATTAATGATATATTACATTGTGATTTTAATTAAAAATAAAAATAATTTTAAGTATATAAGGATTTTTCTGGTGTAATCTACATAATTAATATCTTTTAAATAATTTGGAACAACTAAATATCTGCAAAGACGTTGCAGTCAAAAACATTCAATAATAGTAAACTACGTTTCTTTATACGCTGAACGCTACGTTCCTTTATATGTAAAAGGTTATATACTATTTTGAGTTTCACCACTGGCTAAAAAAATACTTTTTATGTTATACTTTTTAATGCTTAACATAATATCAAACAATCATTTTTGTACAAGATCAGTACCAAAATGGTTATTCTCCTTTCCTCAGGCTTGAGTAGTTCCGGTACTAGTGTCATCTGATCACTAAAATCCGAGATTCTGTAAAACTGCATTCTTTAAAAGAAATGCAAATATGAAATGATTATGTTTCTTCATTTATTTTGTAAATCATATCGAGGAAGATAAAGCTAATAAAGAAATTGCTCAATAGAAAAAAATTAAGAAAATTTTGGAAACCGATCTAAAGTATTAGATACAGTGTGAAAAAATTATCATTAAGTATATATAGGGAGCATATATTATTTTTTTGCTGTTATGTTCGATAGCGTACAAGTTCGTTCACTGCCTTGGTTTCTTTAGAATTTGTCCAGCGGTGCATTTGTGACAACCAACAAAGCTAATATCGTTAAATGGCACCAACATTGTTGCATGTGCATGCGACGAGCGGGGACCAAGCTCCGTTCAAAGTGCTTTTGACAGACCATACCCGCTGTAGAATTGGCAGTTTCAAAACGAGCATAGCTAGAGTTTTACTGTCCGTATGTAAGTACCATGTTACTTTGTATCGATTCGGGTATCAGATACCTATGCGAGCCAATTGTCTCCTTTGTGATAAATTTTCGCATTTGTCCAATTCCGTGGTTGATTTTCACGACGCGACGCGTGAAATTTTACAAAACTCTACGTAGACATAGGTAATAAAGACCCTATGGTTTTCGTGGCTATCACTCTAAAATGCATAGTGGCAATTGACCGCAACATGATTTTTTTTGCTATCGATTTTTACTTTCACATAACATTATTATTGCATATGTGTATGTCATTGAAGATTTTCATTTAAGTAACAATTTCGCTCTCAAAAACTTTATTCGATTGAAACCTAAGAAAACGTTATCATAATTTGGCAAAGTCATACAATATTTATTAGATTATGTTATCGTATTTTAACGAAATCAAAGTACCTACTACAAGGGGACCACAACACAAGGTTCAGACAAAATATAACTGAAAACTTAAGCAATACTAATTATACTGAAATAGCAGGAGCACTGGAATTTAAGATAATAATCAATAAAATAAATCAAGTTTTCGTTAGGCAATAAAGTTTCTCTATAGCATTAGGGTACCTAATTACTTAGTTAAGTCAATTGAAAAATGTATGAAAACTACTTGAACAAAATGGAAGCTAATAAAGATGAAATATTTCTTGCCTAGTAGAAATTCTATGAACGAACCAACATAATAGAGCAAGAATCCACTTTAACTTATTAAAACACAATACAGTTGCGTCGCTGAGCTATCAGCCTAATTGAAAACTGCATTGTAGCCGTAACAGCAATCCAGAGAGTTGTAAGTAAATATTGTTGTGTGGAAGTAAGGACATAGCAGATGCTTGTAACAAGAGTCTGCGAGGGATTACAGTTACAGGGAGAAATGTTCAATTAAAATATGTGGGTATTTATCTACGTAATAATTTAAAGGATGGTAAATAAGCATATATATGTGTATATATCTGTCGTAGGATGATATGATTAGACTATGGCGATGACATTTATTGTTAACGAAATTGTTTTCTTGCATGGTCACAACAGTAATTTAACCTAGTGGGAACCTAAGAACCCAAAAATATTTATAATAAGCCAATTAAGATTCTTTTCGCAGTATTACTGAAGCGAGTCGCGTTTTCGAAAAAATCCTATCTTTTTCAGTAACATATAGAAATGTCATCGCCATTGTCTAATTATTATTGCAAATAGTCGATTTATGAAATGATTCTGTAACACAACACATGTATCATAATGATAAACGGCCACCATAACCTGTAGATGCTTGTAATACCAGATTATTACTCACGCGTTGTATATCCTTTTTTTGTCGTTGGAGAATGCTTGACGCATACCCACTCACTCAAAAAAGTGAGCGGGCTATGTTGGACTCCTCTGCCTATCCACTAGACGCAAACAATTTCCCCCCAAAACAACCATGGTGTTTCATCATTAGCGATGAGTCATGGAATCGAAGTAACAGCCAGGTCAAATCGAAAATTCCACGAGCCATCATATATCCGTTTCCCGATTCACCTTCAACGCGGTTCCCCGTTCTTCTCCACCGGGCGGCGATATACTGAAACACGTGTTTGTCGCTGTACATTACTCCAACGGCTGTCATCAGAGTGACAGCTACTTTCCTCTCTCACCCCATATTTTAGGGCATCAGCGCTCTGGCATATACCCGGCGCCGCCTGCCAACGCGTCGGCGTCTGAGTGGGTCTTCTTGGGGGTCCTCCTCTCGATACCGCTTCATTTCCACTGATTATTGCTTCGCAGAAGATCTTGACCGCTCTCCAAGCCCTGTTGCTGCCAACTATAGCACGAACTACAGCCGTCAAGGACAAATTGCTGCGGATCACAGCTGTCAAGGCAGCCTTCTATCACGCCTTGCTTACCCTTACTGAATCTTCTATTCTGTGGGCGGTGAGACCTGGAACCTTACACACCGACAAAAACAAAACACCACAAAAAGAAAGCGTTATTTCACAGTAGGCTTCCTTAAGGTAAAGGTCGCTACCTCAGACGGTGTTTTAAATCGAATGGAATATCCGTTTTACCACTACATAACTAAAAAACCTAATTATATTGTTTCCTTAAGTCATTATATTTTCTTCTAGTGGACATCTTATTAATCAAGAATACATTTTCATTGTTTTAGTACGGAATGGCTACTCGTGCGTACCGGTGGCGCTGTCAGAAGGATTGGACATCAGACTTGGCACCTCAGTGACAGAGATTAACTACGGAGGGCCGGGAGTCACTGTGAAGGCCGTCAACCCAAGGGCACCAGGTGTCCCACAAACTTTTAAAGGTTAGTTGTTCTAGGATTTCTACCTACTGCTAGACCAACTGAGCCAATAGAACAGCGGACTAAGAGTACATTGTAAATTTTGAAATTTTTCGTGAAAATTTTACAGAATACCCCCGCAGATTAGAGCGAGCGCGACTACGACCAGCTTGTATTATTTTTTTGAGTTTACTCATTCTGTCTTTGCCAAAATACGGGATAATTTATTTCTATTTACAAAGTAATAGGTACTATTAGAGAACATATTGAAACTAAGGATAAATATATGTAAGGCCTACTTGCACCAAAACTTCTTATTTAAAATTAGACTGAATCGTGGTTAACACGTTCTTCTTCTTAGCCGGTACGCTCTTGACAGAGCGGTCGTGATCGCTATGCACTTGTAGTATTATTGGAGGGGGCAGATGTGATGCGCTTCACTATGTTTCGCCATTGCTGCCTGCTAGAGGTCATCCTGCTGCACTCGTTTAGTGAACCTCCAACGGCTGACTTGATCTGGTCAGTCCATCGCGTGGGAGACCTTCCGCGCGGTCTAGTACCTTCCACCTTTCCTTGGACGACAAGGCGTTCTATGGATAGGTTGTTACGCCGAGAAACGTGTCCGAAGAATGTTAGGATGCGAGATTGTACTGTCGAAAATAGACGCTGCCTGATACCGAGTTCTTGAAGTATCGAGACGTTCGTGCGAAACTCGGTCCACGAAACCCCAAGCATTCTTCTCCAGCACCACATTTCCAAAGCGTCCACTTTCTGCCTTTCCACATCTCGCAAAGTCCACGTCTCAGCCGCGTAAGGAAATATGGGGAATATAAGTGTCCTCACAAGCTTGGTCTTTGTGGCTTTAGTAATGTTTCTATTCCTCCATATTTTCCGCATCTTGTCCATCGCTGATCTTGTGATGCCCATACGTCGTTTGATTTCATCGATGCATCCGCCATTGTTTGAAATCAACACGTTATCCTTGTCAATTGTTTAAAATCAAATAGAGATAAAAATAAGGCTTAAACATGATTGACATCTAGAACTTGGGTTCAATTAGACCTAAGTGTATGACATTATTTTTCACTCGTATAGCGACTAGCGAGAAAAAATAGCAAACCTACCTAGGTAGTTTTTATATTTTTTTTCGCTTAAATGTTTCATAAATATATAAACAGCTTAAAATCATGCGATTCATGATACGGCTTTCAGATCACAATAAACTTGCACTGATAGCACATTTCGCACGAAAAGTGATTCTAAACTCGTTATAAACATCGATCAATACGTGACGAACAGTTGATAAAAGTCGCCAAGTATCGATTTTAGCCGGCGGCAGACACCCATATTGCTTTAGCGTTCACATTTTTCGTCCAAATGGAAAAATTTAATTCATGTGGCCGTAATATTGAGGAAGTGGCGTTCGGCCTAAAAAAGTAAACAAAGAGCGCCATAATGGGCGTTATGAGAAAAATCCACAGCGCCGTCGGCTCCTTGTCATTTCTTTGTCGCGGAATGATTTGCAATTCTAACGCGTTAATTTCACTTTGATGAGGCCGTGGCGTAAAAATACGGTCGGGTCTGTGTTGACCCGGTGTTCGCTTCGCCCCTCGCCGGAGGCTACGCCACATTAGCATACAAGCCAGTCTATTGTAGCTGAAAGTTAGACTTTGTGAGGCGGTCGTAGTCGTAGCTGGCTGGCTATGTACGACTCTGCAAGTGTTCATATTTTCTTTTCTATTAGTGTGTTAAGGTACGTTATTTTCAGTCTCTATAATAGGAAGCACACCGATGGAACTTTAATATGAAGATAGATAAAATAACATTTTAAACAAACACTTAAGAGGGGCCTCCCCTCAATACAAACGTTCTCGACTTATTCCTCCTTGATTTTTATCACTATAGAATTGATTTTTATGCTCATTCTATGCTCCTATGTTTTATTTTTTTCGATAACTTGTCTATCAAAGAAACTAGAAGCCCTCAAAAAAGCGAAAAATAAACAAATTTTTATCCCCACTAAATACGTATAGTAAGAAGAATTAATAAGCATTTACAAAAAAAAAAAAACAAAAAATAAGGCATAGTTTATTAACTGCTTATTATTCTTTGGGTAAAATTTCTTTTACATATGTTTAATCATCGACGAGGAAATCGTCGAGAGCTAAATTTCGAATTTTGCAATTTTTATACACAATTTTCAGTGTTGACTACTGTTGTCCCTATCACAGGGTATTTGCCAATGCGTGATAGAAAAAGTTCAAATACCTATTTCTCAAGTTTCTCTCAGCTTGCGCCACTCTGTAGCTATTTAAAATTGAGACCAATAATTTAAGCATGAATTAAGCCGGGCGATTTAGTCAGAATAGAACTAATATGTTTTGCTAATATGTATATTAGATTAACAATGCCTCTCTTCCGAATTTGTGTTTTTAGTTATAACATGCCTACCACGAAAAGCTCCGATGACAAGGACATTTAAGCGGCTATGACTTTTTTTCAATATTGGTAGTACAAAATGTTTACATGAATTGCCAAATTCAGGACAGATTCCGATTTTCAAGATAATTTAACAACAAACACAGAAAAATCATACTTGGCGAAGTGACGTTATTCATTGCTTAAGACAAAGTAAAATATTTTTTTTCATTGGTGTTTGTATTGATTTTCATGAGAATGATGTCCATTTATAAATTTGCTTGTCAATAATCTGCATTTAAAATTTCTCACAAGTTCAAATATCATTGGCAAAATTCTTTGAAACGTAATGAACTCACCGCTTATGTTTTGCTTTAATTTCAAGGCAACCTTATATCAAGTAGTAGCAATAATGCTATTAGTCAGAGTTCTCATAAATATGCAAGAAATATCACCCATTTTTTCCAAAATTCTCCACTGATATATCCACACCAGTGTTCACTGTTACAATACATTGAACTTTTTTCTTCGTCAAAGGAGCTTTTATTTTTTCCTCATTATTGATGTTTTTCTTTCATTATCAATTAAAATATAGACAGAATATTTTATTTGATAATGAAACCATTGTGCGATATTGCAATACTAATTGTTGTGATACAGCCCAAACAATATGCAAAATAAAAAAATCTCGTAAACACAAAAAAAACATATTCGAAATTCGAATGTGCCTCGACCCCTAAATTCTTTCCCAACTTTACTACACGAAAACAGTAAATTATTTAAGAACAGGATCGAAATCGTTAAATGGGCGTTGCCGAATATTGAGCAGAGCGATCTCATTTTGATGATGTTCGTTATATGCTCCCCGGTCGGTCAAGATTTACACAGGATTTTTGCGAAGTACCAGATTACAATGTAATCAAGGGGCCTTCAATACGTCTCCCCCAAACCGCTGTAGTAATTGCGAAATAGGACCGTTTTAACACAGATATAATCATGCATTTTAAACTATATTACATCATAAATCTAGATTTTGGGTTTTGGGTCTGATACTAATGTGTTGTATTATGATTATCCCAAATATTAGACAAAATGTTGTGTTTTTTTATGATATAACTAGCGGCCGTCGGCGGCTAAGTCTGCGTTTTCTTTAGTTATTTGAAAACCCCACAGTAACCTAACATTTTTCGGGATATAAATTATCCTTTATCTCAACCCAGGTAATAAATTTTTCGAGGTTATCAAATGTTATCCAAATTCTGTCAGCCGCTTTCCTATTAAATCAAGGTCCACCAGTAAAATTTACTCCCCCTTTTCACCCCGTTAGGGGTATAGTTTCAAAGAACCCTAATACATGTTATTCTTTATTTCAGGTATAACCAAGTTTCGAGTTATTAAAAATGCGCGTTAAAATTCATCCATTATAAAAACTTCGACATCCTCCTAATCCCCTTTTAAAGGGTGGTTTAGGTTAAATAAAAATGACAAACTTTATAATTTATATAGATATGTATGCGAGCCGACTTTCAAGTCTACTAACTCAAGTAATAGGGATATTGTTTTAAACTTTCATGATCACTTTGTTTTTTATGAGTCTCCGATATTATGGCACTGTTGCAAGCGCCATGATCACGGAGTAACTGAAGTCATTGCGGATAGATGTTATTGGCAGACATATCGGTCTACCCTCTGACGTCATATTTTACTGCGCTCGATACCCCTACACCTGGTCGCATTCTCACTATTCACTCGCACTTGTTCCCGACAAACAATATCGGACTCACTATTCACCCGAAATATCGGAGACTCATTAAAAACAAGATATACGGTAACAATCCCGTTAGTAGCTATAATAATCAAGTAAAAGGAGTTTTCATAAAAACTTTCAACCCGTATGTAAACCCTTCGGCGAGGAATTTTTAAACATCCTTTCTTATTGCACCCCTAGACCCCATAAGGAACCTACGTGCTAAATTTGGAGACTAGACCTGGCTGTATGAGTTGTGCGTTAATTGTTAGTCAGTCAGTCACTCAGTTTCTTCTTTTATATATTTAGTTCTTAGAAACTTCTTAAAAACATCCATCTAATATTTGGGAATCTATCAATGCTTTTGAGTTAAATGTCTACCTAAAATATGAGCGCCGTAAAAGAACTTTTTTAACGCTATCTGTATTTTCACTATCTGATAAATAATTCTCGAGTTTGAGTACTTGGAATTAAAGCGATTACTTAACCTGTGAAGTTGTGGTTAGGGTAGCTGTAAGGTTTTGTCCGGGTCAAAGTTTTGCTTTCATGCTGATTACTTTTGGCCTACCGCTCGTTTTATGTTGCATGTTTACCTTTATATTAAAGTAGGGCAAATCAGATAAACGTTTGGATCTATAGTATTTGGGAAGATTATTGTCGTAGCCCTTTGCCGCAAAGAATCCTTTCCAACTGACTATTTCAAATCGAATTATATCATCCTTATCAAGATTATTGTATACTTGGGAAGGTACAAGAAAATATTTCAATTGAGTGGATATTAACATTTTATATCGAGAAAGTTAAGGTATGCGTTAAAAGATCCATGATGTCTGGATGGAATAGAACAGGAAAGAAGTAG